CCAAAGACCGAAATCCAAACTTGCAGGCTGTCTGTCAGTGCTTTCTACTACTATAAAGATGACTAAAATAAGAATCTGAGAGATAACCTGACAGAGGCCAAGAAAATGCCCAAACTTGCCTGGATCCACCTCCTAGTACAGAACTTTGATCTTCCCTAAGAGATTAAGTTGTCAAATGTTCCCTTACGACTCTAATGGTAAGAGCCAAGTGCCTGGACGTTGAATGCTTGCGATACCGTAACTGTCACTAGCATTGAGTTGGACTGAGAATCATAAAATATTAGTGGTTACCACAAGTCTTCAGGAGCCCCAGAAGGAGAGTCACTGGTTTAAATCCTGGGTACAACTCAGACCACACCCAGCACATTGTTGCCTTGTGAGGCAGTGAGTTTCCCGTCAATGGATACATTCCACTCAAGGAGGACAACTGGAGAAGTTTTCTAGGGGGGAGAGGGGGTAAGATTCCAGGATTGAGACACCTACGCTGCTCTTAACAGGAGGGAATCAGACAAATGTACTGGGAAAAAATCAAATCAGATAGAAAGAAAACTCTTGGCAGTAAGAGTTGTTTACCTCCTTATCCTCAGGTGGAGAAACCAAGGCCCCAAAGGGTTAAGTATGTCACTACTCAAGGTCACCTGTGTGATTTACTGACAGATCTGGAAGCCAGCTCTCCGTATTCCCAGAATGCTCTTTCCTCTTGAATTGAAAGAGAATCCAGCAGTTCACTAGATTGTGAAATGAAGGACTTGTACTTAAAGATGTTCATATATTGCCTTGTTTAGAACAGAGTTCCCTGGTATATAACACAAATACTTCTCTAGAAAGACAGACCACAGAAAATAAGCTAATGGTGAAATTTACAGACAGCAATTGAGTCATCAAGATAGCAAGACTTGACCATCAAAAAAGGCATAAACATTTAGCCACTGATTACTGACCTGCCAGGGAATACAACTAATGTTAGAGGAAACATAAGAAAATACTTTCAAATAATACTATTAAAAGAAAGGTGCTTGGTATCAAGAAAAAGGTACACCTTAGGGAAGAATTTGAGATGATGCTTCCCAAAGAAGAAAAAAACAACAGATTATTTTTTAAAACCCTTCAAAGCCCCTCAGGTAACCATCAATTTTATATAGACAGCTAGCTAACCTGCCTCTGAACAGGGTACGCACACTGTGAAGGCTGGAGAGATTATGACTAATTACATGGAAGTGAGGACGTTGAGTAACTTTTTGTACAGTATCCAAATTACTGAAACAGGGTGATTTTATTTTCCAAGTGCGAAGCCATACCGACAGGAAACAAGCGGGGCTATTCTACCCCAGCAAAGTGCCTTAGCTAGTCAGGCATTCTGTAACAAGTCTCCATGGCAAATTTCCTAACACACACTTCTAAACACAAAGAACTCTTCCTCAGAGTGAGTGGCAATAAATAGGCTTGTGCAACTTCAACTAGAAGGATATTCAGATCCTTCTGGGATCTTTTCACGAAAGCAGCAGAAGGCTATAGTCACCTTGCCATCCTAAAATTGTGAAAGGATTAAAAATCACAGAACATTTGGAAGCTACAAGCAGCCTAAATAGGACCTAGCGGATCCAGTGACTTCATTTTTCAGATGAAAAACTGCCACCTGCCTCCTAAAAAAAAAGGTAAAATGACTTGCCCAAGGCCACCCAATTACTGAGCAGCATGGTAAGAACTACGGTCAAAGGCTCAAACCTACCACCCTCTCCACAAAGCCAGAAACAGCCTTTATAGTCCTAAAACTATGCACCAGATATAACCTAGGGTGTGGAAATTTGTGTCCCTACAGGTCTCAAATTTTGTGGCCACACAAACTAGAGAACGTACATTCACAATCCCTTCCCCACCTCCACTGTGACTTCATCTCTTTATCTCCCCATCAAGAATCTTGGCACACAGGTGATTAAGAAGGACCTTATTAGATCTAATAGAGGAATAACCTTGAATCTTTTTGATTAAAAATACACGTTGGAATTTTAATACTAGTCAGAGGACTTCCTTTCAAACATCTCAGGGTGAAGTGTGACAAGCCATTGCACTGTGACACAGGATGGGGAGCTGCTGCTGCGAAATATAAATAATCACTACAGGTGCAGCTGATGCTGTGAACACAAGAATCTCATCAACAATACTGAGGATTACATCTGACTTTGCCCCTAGACTTGGATAAAGCAGCTTTCAGCAGGAAATAGACACTGTTAGACTGAACAAGTTTAAACGAGCCTAAAGGAGAAGAAGCAGGTAGCCTCACTCCGGGGCCTTCTCAGATCTGGACAAAAGGCTAAATGCTGAGAATGCGGAGTTTGGCAATCCCGTGTGGGAATGAGGGCTGAATTCCAATCCCCAATTCTGCCCCTTGGTGTGCCCTGAAGTCCTTATTTATTCACTGCAACATTTTTAAAGAGCTTCCTGTGTTCTGGGCTCTGTGCACTCCAAGTTGAATAAAATAAAATCGCTGCTCTGTCGACCAAGAGTCTCCAATATGGGATGTGTACACCCCTGAGTGAGGTGAAGATAAGACACCACTGAGGAGGGACAAGAAAATACAAGAACTGATTTAAAATTAGAGTCTCGTCGTTTTGACTTCTATTTTTGTGATTACCATTTTACGGATAACCAAATAGGCCTTGGTGCCCATGCTCCAGAAATTAGAAAATCGGTCTATCAAAGTTTGGGGACACTTGATCTAGCCCCTTGGAGTGTAGCTTAGGCTCACCAAAACTGTGATGGGACAGCAAATCAGAAGTACTTGCAAACAGACCACAGGTAATTGCAAGATGTCTTCTTTTAAGATCAACTGGAACGGGCAGATCATGGCATCCGCCCCTCCCCAGTGTGGCTTTTGAGGTCACTGATTTTCCAAAATGCAAATATACTGCCCTTGCGAAGCCCTTTACTTGCACTGGTCATATAACATATAATTTTAAGGGTGAAATGGAGAGTATTCAGGTGAAATAAGGAGTTGTCGGATATATAACTACTCTACAGGTCACGAAGGGAAGAAGAAAATGTAACACAAGTGCCCACTACCACAACTCAGAAAGTGCCATGATGTTGCTAGTTTAGGCAATCTGATCTAGGCTGGTGCCAATTATCTTCATGTTTCCCAAGCCATCCACAGTCACTTGCATAAGGCTCAAAGTCAAAAACAGAACATTTCACTACCTTTGGTGAATTCTAAAGAAAGATGTCTGATGCTCTATAGCAAGAAGTGCGCTCTCATAAAAATGTGATATTTCTTTGTGCTTTCTAGGTAATAATGTAAAACAGCCCTTTTCCTTACAGAGCAGGCAAGTATAGTCATTAAAACTCAAGGAATCTGCTCAACAAGTTCTTTTCAACTGGTCAAAATAGTAAAATTATGCTTTTCTCTCTGGGGCTTGAAAGAAGTTTCAGGGAAAGGCACCTCTTCTGCAATGAATTCCCTAAAAGTTTAAAGAGGTCTTGGGGGGAAAAAACAGTCCCATCCCCTCCACCTAGTCTTCTTTCCTTCTCGTCTCCCCACTCCCACCCAAATTTTTCCACATGATGTATCTTTTATAGGCTAAATGCTCCTCAATGCAAAGTTAACATTTTTTACTGAAAAGTTAAATTTCACCTTATTGCAGGAAAATGACTTCAAATATGTAACTTCAACCTGAAAGGAGGGGGATTTAAAAAAAGAGAAGGGGGTGGTGGTGGCCAAAGAATGAGACAGGTTCCAAGGCAACTGGCCACAATACTCAAAAAACAAAGCAAAAACACACCAATTGGCAGACAGGCAAGCAGAACAGTTCCCACCACCCACCTGGAGGCACCAATACTCTGGCCTGAATAGAGGATTCTCCATGGGGTCTGCTCTTTCTTTCCAACTGTCTAGGTCTCCCTCCGGAGCTATAAGGTAAAAGGAAATCCCCTTTACCCAAGGTCTTTCAGAACCCCTTTCTCTCTCAAACAGTTCCTTCCCTGCCCTTGATTTAATCTGCCACACAGCACAACAAGGAAGAACAGCAGCCTATACCAACCCCAGCGCTCAATTATCCTATTCTTTCTCTGCGGGGGCCATCTGCCAATGCCACCTCCAGCACCTATTTCAGATTCTTCTTTTCTGAAGCGAATGTCTAAACGCAGAGACTGTCCCCATTTGCGGAGAGGGTCTGTGGAAGTCAGAACCATTTGAGCGACTTCCCCAACCTCCGGGAGCTCCAAAGAAAAATTCTCCTGGTTAAGCAACAACAGAAAACGGCTACCTTTCGAGATGGGCAGAGCTTATGCTCTGGCACTTTCATTTTCCTCCAATATCCTGTACTTCAGGTCAGCATTCCTTCTCTAAAAGGCCTTGTTGGGTAAGAAGACTAATACGTCCAGAGAAACCTGCAATTTCCCCTCCTTCTCCCTCGTTTTGGCCTGGCTTCCCCGCGCGCTCCAGAACCCCGGGAGCTGGCTGATGAGTCCGGAGTGTAGGTGGACCCAGGTGCCAGGTTGCTGTCCCTGGACAGGGCCAAACCGGAAGGCCACTGGCCCTGACTACCGTACAGGTGTTTCTTCCCACATGCTGGAACCCGGGAGGCTCCAGGTGCTTCCCCACGAAAACCGCCTCGGTCTCAGACTCGGGCCAAGTTCGAGGCGCCCTCACCCCTAACGCCTGCAAAGCTCTTGCCAGCTGAGCAGGGGGCCCGGGTGAGAAAAGAAAGTCGCGTGGAAAGGTTGCCAAGGGCAAGTGTTTCCAGACTCCTCTTTCCTCCTCGGCCCCAGATGCACTTGAGAGTTGGGGGGGGAGCTGGTGATCGTGCCCTTAAAGTCTGGGAAAAACAGCTACACAGGTCTCGCTTGGAAAACCCGTGGCGCCGGAGTAAGTGCCAAGGAGGTGCCGGCGCCCCCCGCCCCACCTCTGCACTCTGCGGGATGGGGGTGGGGGGTTGGGATGCGATCGGCCACTGGCTCCGCCCTCCGGCGCCCCCTCCCCCGGCGCCCCCGCAGCCCGCACTCACAGCAATTGGGTGAAAGCGCTGAGCCCCTCGGGCACGGCCGTCAGCCCCTTCCCGGAGCAGTCCACCCGACGGTCGCCGTCGCAGCTACAGGGCGCCGCGCAGAGAGGCGGCGCCGCGCCGCTGGGCTCGGCCGAGCCGCGCAGCCCCAGGGCGAGGAAGCAGAGCAACCCCAGCGGGCCCGGCATTGCTGCGGCCGCCACCCGCGCCGGCCTCTCCCGCGGCGCAGCTAGCTCGGGGCGCCTCCGCCGCCCTCCGACGCCCCCCGCCGCCCCGGGCGGCAGGCCTGCGGGTTGGGCCGGGGGCTCTCCTCTCTCGGCAGTCACGCGGGCTCGGCTCCTTCAACAGTCCGCCGCAGCAGCGCAGGGACGCGGCGCTCCGGAGTTTCGCCCTTCCCGCTGCTCCATGGAAGCGCAGAGGCAGCCCTAGGTCCTCCCGCGGCTCAGGCCAGCCGGCCCGGCTGGGCACAGCTGCGGGGGCCGCGCTCTGCCATCGCACCCGCCTCCCGGTCCCCGGCCTCCCGCCGCAGCCGCTCTTCAAGGTTGCGGAGCGCAGATTTCAGCCATGCCGGCCCCTCGCCCCAGCCCCCGCCCGGCTCTCGCACAAACACCCGGGCTCTTTCTCGCTCTTCTCGCAGCCGCGGCTCGATCTCCTCCCGTCCTTTTTCCCTTCTAGGGTTGCACGCTCGGGTTCCCAAGCCCCCAGCCGCTGGGTTATGCAAATCACTTAGGTACATGCAAAACTGACCCCTCTCCCGGAGCCCCATTGGCCGGGGGAGGTCTCTAGCTCATTACTATGCGATGAGGGGAGCCGCCATTGGCCGAGAGTGGACCAGAAGGGCGTGTTTATCGGGCGTGAGTGACAAGGTGGTGGTGGTGGTGGTGGTGGTGGTTCTACGCAGAAATCCCTGACTTGGCTCAGTTTGCGTTGCAGGTTGTGGATCGAAGGTAGAAGGATCTGAAGACTTAGAATCTGGTTTTTCCCTCCCCCACTCGTTTTCTTCCCCCTGCAGAAATTGGATCTCCTAAATTGGACGACCTGAAAAGTAGAACTTGACTCCAGCATTGTTAAGTTTCAAATGACTCTGTGCTGCTCCAAATGGTGAGGACTCTGGGAGCTGTGCAAATGGGAAAAAGATTAGAGAAGGGAAAAAGCTTCTCTTAATCTGGCATAAATATTTAAGTTTCACCTATATACTAAAATTAAAACACGAACCTCTCCCTTCACCTAACATCTTTATACCTATCTCCATATGCACTGGGTAGCTAAGTCTTAGCAATTAGCCATCCACGATATAGAGTTTTGGTGACGCCTAACTCAGACTGCTTTAAAATCCTGGAACACAGGAATCTTGTTAGAGTCAACAGAAGTGATGTTTCTGAACACTGGACAATTTCTCCAGACAATGAAACATTTGAGTGCCAGTAACTACCCTTGAGAAGCCAGCAACAACTTTGGTGTTAAGTGATTATCAGGGTTCCTTCCTCTTCTGGACTTTTGTGGCATAATAGACCCCACGTTATTATTATTGTTTGTACCAGCTACTGCTTTATAGGCACCTCCTTTCTTGCTGTCCACTATGATTTTGAGTTATTTTTCTCAATTTTGAAGACATTTCCCACAAATACTTTAAAGTAGGCAGAGTTAAAAATTTCAGTCATCAAGTTGATTACTCATGTCATATAAGTAAAATTAAAGAAACTGGAAATAAGTTGATGCAGACCCGAGAAGTTTACATGAAAATTTTCCATCATCTTTACATTCAGGAGTTTATCTTTTAAAATAATGCCAGTTGGGCATATGAGTAACAATAAATTCTTGTTTGACATGCTTGACAGTCAAATAAATACAGATATGCCTTGAATTTAAGTTTTAGGAACGACCTGTTTCCTATAGTTGTAGGTTTGAAAGAGAATTTAAAGGTAGATGGACAACCCTCTGGTTTTATGGATAAGAAATCAGAAGCTTAAAGATACTGTGCTCTGTCCAATATCATCACAGAACAGCTCCTGGGCTCCTGGTTCCTTATATGGTACCCTTGGAGCCTTCTCTAAACTGGATTCCATTGTCTAAATCACTTCCATTAGTTGCTGGCAACTCTTAGGAGCGAGTGAAAACTGTTAATTTTGTTTCTTTGATTCCTTTAAACACTTCTCTTTCATTACAACAGAATTTTCTTGCCAAGATATCATTATCTTCTTTTTTTTATAACAATAATATGTTACACTGATTGATCTTATTTTGGCCAAATAATTCATTTCCTTTCTTTAAACTTTAGTAAGCATAAGAATCACATGCAAAACTTGATTAAAACTGCAAAGCATCCTAATAGGCTTTAATGCCTCAAAATCAACATTTTGATGCATGTCAAGTTGGGAACTTTATCCTTTGCTTTCACAGAATAAGATCTTAGGGCTGGGAACATAAGTGAAAGGAGAGATTTGGATTTTGGAAAAGGGAGAGATATAGATTTTATTGAAGAATACATTTCTATTATCTAGGAGATGAAGAGGTAAGAAAAGATGATTCAAATTTGCAGCTTGTCCAAGAAGACAAAATATCAGGAACAAAGAACATGGATAGAGAAAAAAAAAAGGGGTAAGATGTTAAAGTCTTAGTGTTTCCTATAGTTGCTACATTATGTATGCTTTGCTTTAAACTAGCCAATTAGTCTTTGCTTCTTGGATAAGATGCCCCAAGAGAGGAAAAGAACACACCCTGATTTTTAAGATACTATCCCAGATAATAGAAAAAAATGATCAGCTTTTCCATTACCCTTAAGGACCTGGAAGGAGATCTAGATGAACCAAAATTTGATGACAGACAAGAGATAAATTTAATAGAGACTCTGCCTGCAGACTGGTTCTTCTTTCTAGCTTTTCATGCCATGGATGAGTAAATAGGTAGCATCCACTGGCTTGATAAGAGGAAGTGGAGCAATGAAGGAGGCATCACTTCCTGGTGATGCTTATCTTGGGGCTTTTGGGCTAAGGGTACAGGGTGTGTTGACTTGTGGACAAGCTGGACTTTGGTCCCACTCACACTCTCACCCATTCTTACAAATACAGACCTATTCAAGTGTATGCTTCTGCAGGCTGCTCTATTAAGGAAACAAAAACTGAGAGATTGTGAGGGTTCTCTGGGAGTACAATAATGACTGAATTAAAAGTCCTCGAATGTACAGAATTTCACTTTTTATAAAATGCTTCCAAATTACAAAAGAACAAAAATCTAAGTTCAGAGCAGTCAGCTTAAGAAATACAGAAGAAAAACTTCAAATGTAGTTGAAGTTCCCTTTGTACTCCTCCCCAATCGTATTCCTTTCCTTCTTTCTTTCCCTGGGAAGTAAGCCCTTGCCTAAACTTCATCATTAATGCCCATGCATATTTTCATGCTTTTTGTATGTGTGCATCCCTAAAAAGAATATCATTCTGTATTCTTCAACAACTTGTTTTCTTCAACCTGTGAGCTTTGTCCATGTTCATGAACTATGTGCTATTGTTAATTCATTTTCATTACTACATAGTATTCCATTTAAAAGTATTCTCAGTATTTATTTGTCCATTCTATTTAAACTTATTTGTGTTTTTTTTTTCTAACAACACTACCATGAATATTCTTGTTCAAGTTTCCTTTTTCATATATGCAAGAGATTCTCTAAAAGGTATTTTCCTTTATATATGTGTGTGTGTCTAGGAGTGGAATTGCTGGGTCATAGCTTAGGTACTGGAGAAGGCAATGGCACCCCACTCCAGTACTCTTGCCTGGAAAATCCCATGGACAGAGGAGCCTGGTAGGCTGCAGTCCATGGGGTCGCTAAGAGTCGGGCATGACTGAGAGACTTCACTTTCACTTTTCATTTTCATGCATTGGAGAAGGAAATGGCAACCCACTCCAGTATTCTTGCCTGGAGAATCCCAGGGACGGGGGAGCCTAGTGAGCTGCCGTCTATGGGGTCACACAGAGTTGGACACGACTGAAGCGACTTAGCAGCAGCAGCAGCAGCTTAGGGACACTCACACACTCACCATTACTGGATGTCAAATGGCTTTCCAAAGTGACTATGCTTACTTGTCCTTCCTTCAGCAGAGAATAAGAAACCCCATTACTCTACTTCCTACCAATAATAATGTTTTAAGACTTAAATATTTGTGAATCTGATGCACACCGAATAAAGTCAAAGTGTAGTTTAAATTGAATTTCCCTGATTACAGCTGCATCTTCTCATGTATTTATTGGGCATTTGGTGTGCTTTTCTATGCACTGCCTATTCGTTTCCTCTGCCTGTCTGTTTTCTGTTGAGTTGCTTGTATTTGTTTTTCTAGTTTAGGGCCAGATAGTAAATATTTGGAGCCTTGTGGACCACATGGTCTCTGTCATAACTATTCAACTCTGCCATTGTAGCACAAAAGCAACCATAAATGATACGTAAGCAAATAGATGTGGCTGTGTTCCAATAAAACTTTTTTTTTTTGGGCAAAAACACATGTTGGACTAGTTCTGGCCCGTGGGCCATACAGTTTCCCAACCCTGTTTTATAGGTGCTAATCCTTTATTGAAATCTAATTATTTTTTAAAACCATTTGTAGGATTATGTAAAATTCAGGAGGACACGCCTCAAATGTAACCATCTTTCCTTGCCTGTTGACATTAAGCACTTTTAAACTTCTGGTCTCCGTGGTGAGCTCATGGTGAAGATTATATTGCAGAATGAGCCCTGAAGAGTCCATTGCAAGCTTAAACATGCCCCTCTTTCTAGAATGAATGTTGTACAAGTTGTCCTGGTTGCTTAGGGTTTATCATACCTCCCATCCAAAAGACACCCCAAATATTGACCTGATGCAATCACATGATAGGTGAATAATAGCTGTTGACTTTATGAAAGCATGTGTGCCAAACCCACCACCCAATGTTAGAAACACCCGATGTTTTGTTGTTGTTGTTTAGTCGCTAAGTCATGTCTGACTCTTTACAACCCCGTGGACTGGGCCCACCAGGCTCCTCTGTCCGTGGGGTTCTCCAGGCATGAATACTGGAGTGGGTTGCCATTTCCTTCTCCAGGGGATCTTCCTAATCCAGGGGTCCAACCCACAACTCCTGCAGTGCAGGCAGATTCTTTATCGCTGAGCTACCAGGGAAGCCCTAGAAGCTGTTTATGTTATTAAAATTATGTATGTATCTATACATACATATTTGTGGGGTTTTAATATGTACATATACATACATAAACACTTCAAAACATAATAGATTCAGGAAATAAGGAAAGAATATCAAGTGTAATCCCTACCCCTCAGACAACTGATACGGCCCTACTCTAACAACTGAGTCCTCAAGGTAAACACTTGTTTCTATGATCTGCTGCCTCCACATCTGCATCCAGGGCTCTGGGCTGGTGGAACTCCCACACTGGGCCCCAGAGACTTGTAGTCTTAGTGTCTCACTTACTTGTCCTTTTCTTTAGAGTCTCAAATGTCTCTAGAGTGGTCCTGTTTTGCACAGGAAATAGCATCTATTTTTTTAGGGATAATTTTAAACTACAGTGATTATCTTGAATCACACACAGAAAATAAAAATAACAAATTGTTGAAAAATTAAAAATATCTTTTTAAGCTGTACACTTGGTCAGACTTGGGCTTCTGGGACCTCCTTCCTCTGCCACCTGTGTAGAACTGATGGACTTTGGCATGTGACTACTGGCAGTAAGGTTTCTGGTGTGACTGAAGACCATTCTTGAAACCAGCCCTTTTCAAAACGTCACCCCAAAAT